ACATCCTAATATACGACTAGCGATGCTTCGCATTGTGAGCACCGCAATTCTTTCACTGAAGTAACCGGAAACATCGCGTTATAGAGATTCATGCTGCTTTCTAGCAGAAATACTGCGCGTTTTATGACTCTCTGAAGGATACCTAGGCAAAAATAAGGGAGTTCCTAATCTCATCGCACGTTAATATTCTGTTTGTCTTATGCTAGCGCACTGTTTCACTCGTAAATAATTGAATTAGTAGGGGAGAGTGGTCTAAATCGGACCGTGTTCCAAATAGGACCTTTTTATAATTTAAATGAATACGGTTAAGCAGATTTGCGTACTATTTATAATGTAAAGTTCCTATAAGACACCAAACATGTGATAGCAGTTTGACAGTTCTCTGTCATAACATTCATAAAATAGATGCAAATACGTATTTTCAGCCACCGTGCAAAAATTTTTTTAAAAAAGAAAATCCTTGTAAATCATTATTTAAAAGGTGTTAAAAATTTGAAAAGTAATTGATTTAAGATAATTAAAAAGTGTAGAATTCAAAAATATCAAGCATTTTGTGATCACTTTTGCGGTTTATTGTAAAATTTGTTCCAAAGTTCGAAAGGATCCGTGTCCAAATTAGACAGTACAGTGAATAACTTATAGGTCTGGTTGTAGTACTGGTAATTGGCTGACCAAATCTGGTCTAAGCAATTAAATCAGTAAAATATCATGAGTCGTCAGACTCAGATTAGTTGAGTTTTATTGATTTCAATTCTAATAATATAAACAGTCAGTAATTTCTTTTTCCGAAAAAGTTTTTATCTTTGTCAAATTGCTCGTTTTTACTCAATACTAAAAAAAATACATTAAAATATTTTAAAATTCTATCTAAAAATCCATAAAAATAGAAATTTTCGATTCGAACCAGGGGATGGTTCCGGAAAAAGCGTTTTTACATTTTCCATTATAGTTCAACACAGGTGAGAGATACGTCAAAATGGTCTGAAGCAGAAATGAAGGGAATTAAATGATCTTTCAAATGGCACCTTCGATTTTACGATCAGACTTTATTTACGCCTTATAGAGAACAAAAACTGCAAATAGGTCCGATTTAGACCACTCTCCCCTACTAATTAAATATTAAATGTCCGTCACGCGCGCATCGGGATTCGGGTAATCGTATAATTTGAACGAAACTTTACGGCGCAAGTCAAATTCTATTAAAATAATTTACACAAAAAGGATAATTTTGCTGAGGATAATTTTGTTTATTTAAAAATTTAGCCGGATACGGATCTGAAAATAATTTTATTGGACGACTAAAATAATTATGCTTGTACTCAATTATGTCAAATACATTCAAGTAGACGGAGGTTCGTCCAATAATTTAAGCGCACCGATTACAGAGCGGATTCTTAAATGCCCTAAATTAATTTATGTATTATCGTTAAGTTATTAAAATAATTATGTAAGACGCTCAAACTGGCTGCCAGAATGTCAAAACTTTTCGCAATAATGCTCATCATGCTTGAGATTGCCACGTAATTATTTAAATGGCCCAACAAAATTATTTTTAGATCTGTGTGTATCTAGTTAAATTTTTAAATACTTCAGCAAAATCGTTCTTTCCGTGTACTTCAAGCAAACTTTGCTTTAGCTTTCGCGTTATAAGATATTGCAAAAAATATCTTACTGAATTTCCATTATGGAAATTAGAAAATTAATTTTGATAAGATCTCTTTTTTTTTTAAATCGGTACTCGAAGTTTGAAATCATAGTGTCGCCTCTTTCCATACTCCCACGGGCACTAAAAGGAAAATGTTGTAAGGACGCACACATGTCAGCCTAACGTGACAGTTGAACGACAAACATACCCAGAGGCTCTCCCATAAAATAGTGTCCGAATATGTTCCTGAGTTCACCTACAATTGAAGTGTGTGTGTGTGTGT